AAAAGCCACGGCGGCAGTCGTCATGCTTCCGCCGAAACGCACCATCGCTTCTCGGCTGCCTCTGTTTCGCCGGCGCCCCCCCCGACGATGATGACATCGGCCGGCGGGCTTGCGGCGGTTGTTCGCGAGCGAGAGAAAGCAATGATTGATATTAGGTAATAATAATCTAATGTTTATTTTGAGTTTGTACTGCAAGCTTAAATGATATTTTGTAAGCGTTGGTCTGAACACGTCCTAGGCTCGTAGTTTTGAGCACTCTCGATGGATTCATATCATGGACCGGCTCTACAGACACGACCTGTCCTAAGCAGACGAGAGAAGCAGGTGTTAAGGAACTTTTAGTCGAGATTGGGAATAAATGGGCGTGGGCAGCAGGAGCCTAGATAACCAACGGTCATGAAGAGAAAAGTAATGGGTTCCAACTGAAGGCAAACGCACGAGAAGGAGAAAAAAGTTAGGTGGGCAGATGAGATCAAGAAGTTCAAGAGTAAAGCGTGGCAGCAGCAAGTTTAGGACCGGGTAGAGTAGCGTAACATGCGAGTGGCTTTTGCCCCGCAGTGGGCACAGTCAGGTGCGTGATTCAGGCGCCTTCATTACATTACCTCGAAGTTCATTTCTCCCGAGTGCGCCGACATCGATTATAAAGATAAATATATGTGAGAAGCAGCCTTATGTGAACATAAAGAACGAAATGTAATGCAACGGACACGTTTAACCTGTCTGTACATTCTTTTTGACCGTTTAGGCTAGGTTGTGTTCATGATGGCCAGCCTGCTCCACATTACCTTACGAGAAGTCCTGGCGCCCAAAGCTGTTCAAATAACGCACGGCACATAATGAGCACCTACAGAGAAAGCAAACTTGTGGCCACATTCTCCAGCTGTTCACAGGCGCAAGTGCTTGCATTTCTTGGGTAAGCATAATTGTTTCTATTTAACGGGAAGAGAGTAAAACTTATCTTGCGTTCTTGAAACAAATATCAGACAGAAGACAGTTCTATTTTGCACGTAAAGGGGCAACACCTTGGTACTTTGCTATACTGCGCAATTTTTTTCAATTATTTTAAATAATACGAGTATTTCTATGCGAGATTACATTAAAATCACAAGAGTTAGTTGCAGAAATTACAACGGCATACTCCTGTCAATAAGATGTTAGATTGCTGTGGTTATGAGACTTTACGTTATCGAGGCCTGAAGCTTGTTATCACTAAGTTAATTTGTATTTTCGGAAAGAAGAATGTAAATTGAGGAGGACTAATGCAGGTTTCTCATCGTTGAGTGCTTCAAGTAAGAATATTGGTGCATATTCATGAACATCCGTTCATTTTGCTGAAAAAAAAATTAACGTTCTGACGCCCGAATTCCTGCTGTTAAGGCAATTATCTTAGTTTTCTGGAAAAGAAAACGTAAGGCAAGCATGCATTAGTCCAGCAAACACGAATTTCTCTCGCTACTGAAACAGAACCGCTTTTTTTTTTTCCTGCTGAGCGAAAATAAAAGTTTGATGAAGTCCCACAAAAAAGGTATAGCAGGTGTCAGTCTCAAAAGTTTTTTTTTTGACGTACTACGAGTACTGTATGTCAAAAACCTATTTTGGAAATTTATTGCCTCGCTTCAACGGCGACCATCACAAGTATGGCACATCGCTCTATAGTGTTAAAATTCATTTTTTTCCTCGACGACTTATCTGTCACGTGATCTTTACGTGGACAAAGGCAGCAAGCAACGTGTCGAGTGTGAAACTCTTTATTCGGCTGATGTTGTGGCTGGAAAACAAGAACTGAAACTGCCGCACTACACATCGTGTACACTAATAGCGGCAAAGAGGGCGTTGGCCATCAATAAACTGACTATCGCTGAAACGTGCTGCCTTTTATACAACACACATCACACTTTACAGCTTTATCAGAGGCTCTCGCGAAAGCTCCCGAATAGACTTGAATTTTCATGTTCTGCGTGTTATCTTAACCAAATAATCTGTAACAAGCCCAAAGCTTCCCAAACAATTCTACGTGGCCTGCACCAAGAGTATAACTAACCGCTCTTGCGGATAAAACACAAATATAGCAAAACTAAAACAAAAACATGATATGAAATATGGTAAACATTCATAAATTCGCATAATTGCAAATTTGAAATAATAATGTCAATATCCCGACTGTGAAACCGCCTGAACCAGAATTGTTCATCCTTTCTCGCGGCCTAATCATCTACCCAACAACTAGCGGTTACAATGTGACACATCTCAACTTGTGAAAGACATGGATGACCTTGCGCACAAGATGTGACTATAAAACTACTTTAACGATGGACCCATGTCAAATAACATGCCCTCTAATTGGCATTCGACACCACCTGCGCAGCTAGAAAAGTATTTTGATATGTATGTTTCCACCGTGCAACGCGACAATCTTAATGCCTCTAGTCAACGCGCTACTTTCAAGAATAACTTGTCCGCAGACGAGAGAGACTCTGTTGAGCATTGCTGAACTGTTCAAAAATCGTTATTAAGTGATATGTGAGGTTTAACGTCCCAAAACCGCCACATGATTATGAGAGACGCCGTAGTGAAGGGCTCAGGAAATTTTGACCACCTGGGGTTCTTTAACGTGCAGCCAAATCTGAGCACACGGGTATACAACATTTCCGCCTCCATGGGAAATGCAGCCGCCACAGCCGGGATTTGATCCCGCGACCTGCGGGTCAGCAGCCAAGTACCTTAGCCACTAGACCACCACGGCGGGGCTCAAATATTGTTATTAAGGCTGCTTACAATGGGGGCGCTGTTCTGAAAATGGATACTTCTGACTACATTGCCCAAGCTATGAGGCAGTTGTGTGACAATAGATACTACAAATGGCTAGATCATGACCGGACAAGTGAATCTAAACGCACGGTTGCAGACTCACTCGTGAAGTTTTTGTAAAATAGTTGCATAAATTAAAATATGAGGCTGTCACTGATTCCTCTCGGTCCTATAGCAGGAAGGATTTATATAGTCTTAAGGCAAACAACCCTAGTCGTTCTACAGTGTCTGCTATCGGCACTTTGACTGAACCACTGTATAGTTATGTTGATAGCCTCGATGAAACAATCCCTCATTCGTTTTATTCTTACCAACCATTTTTATCTGATATCTTGAACTTGACGTACCAGAAAACTTGATTCTCGTCACAGTAGACGTGGCTTACCTTTACACAAACGTTCCTCGCGTTGAGGGCATTCAGTCGGCAGTACACGCTAATGATGAATGAGCCATTGATAACCATTTTGACAGATTAACTCTTTCGAGTCTTCTTAAGCTAATCCTGCAACTAAACAACTTAGATTTTGATGGTATGCACTACATTCAGATGAGTGGTACCTCAATGGACACTAAGATTGAACCAAATTACGCTAACATATTTATGGGTCTACTAAAGAACAGGTTTATTCTCACGCGTGCACTAAAACAATGCTAGTATTAGCACTTCATAGATGACTTCTTTTTTTAGTATAAATGAGGTTCACCCATTAATGTTATTATTATTTTTTTGCCACATTCATATTGTACCCACCCCCTCTGTAACACCCTCTGGGTCTTGAGGGTATACTAATAAATAAATAAATAAATAAATAAATAAATAAATAAATAAATAAATAAATAAATAAATTACGTTATCGCCTGCACACTCACATTTTCTGATTACCGTTCTGGGCGTCACAGTTTCTTGGTTGCATAATAAAGTGATTACAACATAAAAAATCTTGACAGAAAAACAACGGACAATCACCGCTATCTGCATTTCGAAAGTAGCCATGTCAAGCGTAACAAAACGAGCATCCCATATAGTCAGGCACTCAGGCTTAAAAGATTGGGATCCACGCAATCGGACTTTCGCGATAACTGTGAGAAGCTGCCTAAAGCACTTACAGTTCAAATGTTCCCGCCCCAAATGATTGACGACGCCATGAATCGTGCCACGGCAGCAGACAGATGCGAGACTTTTAACTCGAAGAAGGAGACTGCATAGTGACCATCTACAAACCTAGTCATAACCTCGTCATAACGCATTTTGAATCAAGACCGAACGTGAGTTACATATTAGGAAATCCACACAACATCTTTATGCAGAGTCGTCGTCTGAAAAATATGTTTTTGTGAACCACCACGTGTAGCATACCACCGATAAAGGAACCTGCGCGACATGATGACGTCATCCAAAGCAACTCCTTCGTTCCTCCCGTTTATTATGGTTGCCATTCTTGCCATAAGCCGAGGTGCAAGATGTTCACTCACATCACTACCGTAGAATCACTTAGAGAAGTTCAGCCACTCACCAGAAACTCGGCACTAGTTTCGGCTTCAAGGAACATCCGTGCTCGTAGCGGAGGCTGGGCATATTAAGATTCGATTGAACTGAGTGAGGTTGATGTAAATGTTCGCATTTAATGGCCTTTACAAATTTTTACTAAGAAAGAAATTGATACCTATGTAAACAACTTCTTTTTTTGTTTATACGTGTTTTCATTCCCGATTTTGTTATTTTAAATCAGGCAAAGCGCGTGAAGTGATTGACTTGAGTTCGTAGCTTTGGCCTCCTCTCCTTCTCGCCCCTCGCTCAGCGATATTAGCAGTTAGACCACGCTCAGTTATCTCACTCGGTTGGCGCGCATGCCAACTGCGGGAAAGATAAAGACAGCAAGCAGTGACGGGCAGAGAACAGGAGCCACAGTGAGCGACGCCAAATAAGTGAACCGTGCATTTGCCGAACATAGCTTAATCGAGCAACACATGTTTTTCGTTGCTCTGCGGTGTGCTAACCCAGTCATGTCTAGTTCCGCGAAGGTTCCTTAGCGTTTCCTAAAGGCAAAGGGTGAGCACAAGAACTTGGACCCATTATTGGAGCAGGTATTGATTTTGCTTGAGTACATGAGTAAACCCAGTTCTCTACAAGTCTGGCTGGACTGACAGAAGAACGGTGTCGCTTGTTTAATTGGTGAAGACGGTAGCCAAGCTCCTGTCGGGAAAATGCGTTCATTTAAAGGCTTTAATTTCAGTTGTCTAAGCTGCATAGTTTTAGCTCCTTCTTACTTTTTTTCGTGTAGTTCAAATGATGTCAAATATTCATAGGCTGCATCCTGCTCGGAAAATTCTTGTAGCCGCTCTTTGGTTATTTGTGAGTCTTTACTTCTAATGCTGTCACTCAAGTACACGTGACGAACTAAATGCATCTAAATAATTTTAAAGATAATGTTGGTCGAGCCAAAGTTTTGACAAGTTAATTTGACAAAGACCAGTCAACTTGCCGAAACACTGTTTTCAGCGACGTTCTTTCTCAAAAAACTACTGGCCGCTGCGAGCCCCTTCGTGTCTAAGAACTTCAGTCTCGTTTGGTACCCAGGCTCTGTAGGAAATTTATGTACGTGGTCACAATAAAAATGATTCTGCCAAATACGACGTGTCCTACTCGCGAGTGTTCATAGTTTTAGCATTGGTTATGTTATTCTATGTTGAATGTTTGCTCATTATGTCCGTATGCCAGTTGTAAGTTAAAGCTGATTTTATAGATTGACACTTTCACACGACGTGTATGTGTGTCTTTTCTTAAATAAGACGTGTAATAAAAATGTTCATTTTAATTGTGCCGATAGAGTTTCGTCTAGCTGAGAAATCAGTCAGCTTAACTTTCGCCTCTTCAGAAAACACGAACAAAATTTTAAAGAAAACGAATAACAAAACTTTATGGCCACATCGTCCAAGCAGTCAGCGGACCTGAAAGAAGGCATGAGCGCATTCCGCTTGCATGCGAAGTGGGAAAGAAGGGCTTCCGCGGCAGCCCTCCTCCTTCCGATTTTTCATCCTTTCCCTCTATTTTAGGACGTTGCCTGTGACGTCGTGAAAAGAAAATATATTCTTGATTTATTTCTTGTGTGATGCCCGGACATCGCCAGTGGTAAACGCGGCGCTGCCGCTGCGTATCAGCATGCGAGAGCGAATGCATGTGAGGTATAGATAGTTTAGGCCCCTTGGTTCAGCGTCTGATGGTACAATGAAAAGAAAAGGAAGCTTTGACAGCAACACCAACCACTGCGTCTATTTGCTGGAATGCACATCTTCCAAATTTTAATATATAATTCACAATCAGGCGCCATTTGGATTATGTTTCAATAACCACATGGCACACGTGACCACATATCCTAACATGTCCCTTTCAAAGGTGTCATTTGCTTGGTCGACTAATATCAACGATATTGGAATCTTTTTTTTTTCGAACCACCACAAAGGAGACGTGCACGAATCCTTCGTTATATATATTTTAAGGGTCGTGTCATCTGGTAATAACGGAAGTGCTGGAAAGCTGAAGTTCCTGACGATGTATAGATCAGCCATTCTCGCGTAGATCTGTTAACCGACCATCACTTCTGTACTTGTGTTAGACTTGCTTCTGCCGGCTTTTGTGGCCCACCTTGTTGACAACGTTTTCCCGACTGTCACCATTATTATGTTTTGTATTTCACCTTTTACATTCTTTCTGATTTACCCTTGTTACCGTTACCAAAGTTCATTTTACAGAGAAGGCTGTTAAGAGATCACCACTCGGGTCACGTGCGCTGCCATAATTGTCCGCCGCGCCGCTGCCAGTGTCCGTAACCACTATCGCGTGAAACAAGGATAGAAAACACAGTAAGGGAAAAACGCTAATGACACGGTGTGGCTCGATCCCGGGTCCTCTGCGTGCCAGCCCAGTATTCTTCCACTTAGCAACGCCGATGCTTGGGACTTCTTCGCATACTTGCCTTGGGCAGGTTTGATGTTAAGGGATCCATACGCTTCGCGTTTGAAATACTGTCCCATGCACAGTTTCTTGCTACCTGACAATTACTGGCGCCGTTATAAAAATGGCATTTCAAATTTAGCGCCTAATAAAGAGTTGGTATGACTATATGTGTATAACGAGAACCTTTTTTTTTTTTCAGAGAGCCCTGGGCAGATTGCCTGTCAAATGAAGTGCGTAGACATCGCATCAACGTAGATGCATTGAAATTTGAATATTCCTTGCATGACCGAAACGGCCTTTGCAGGGAGCTTCATCCAAGAAGCAGCAACATTACTTTTCTACCCGTAAGTAAATTGCCAAAACTCCTAAACTGAACTGCTAGAGCGTTACCTTTGAATCACGGCGGAAGTGGACACACTGTTTTTGTTTCCCAGAGAGTTAATGGGTTAAGTATCTCATTTACATGGCCAACAGTCGTAAATTTACTTTTCGAATTTCGCGAATTTTCTGAGGAGACTTACCTAATGACATCGACCACGCTCAGCATCTGCTGGTGCAGTTCATTAGGCACCCTCGGCATATGAAGCACTTCTCCCGGCTGCTTTGCTCATCGCGCAGAAGAAAAGGGTGAGTACGACTGTGCGTCTAGAAAAGCAGCCCGGAAAAGGCGTACTGACAACGATGCCGTACAGCGTATACACATTTCACCTCCGCGATGTTGTTTCTAGCCCCGCAGGTTTGGCAAATGTCTTCGTATGTCCTGATCGCGAAACTCGTGCTATTTCGCTTTTATATAAAAACGAGGACAATTCAGTGGTCATTGATAGCTGTGAAAGCACTGAAAGTGACGGCGTCGAGTAAGATGCTGCAGCAGTGGTTTTCATAATATGCTTTGCTCCTTGACTGTCTGAATGGGCAGGATTTTCACAATCGTATGTCCACTGACTGTACTTGATGTGCAATAGTTTTCGCGTCAAAATAGATGCCTGAATTTTCTAATGCGATGAACGTAGCTTAACTTCTGTCACCGCATGCTTCCAACCAGCTCGACTATAGCGGACGTGCAACGCGCAATCGGGTCCACAAGCCGCGTCGCTAAATGGTCGGGTAAACTTTACCATTACCATCCCCACGTTCGTTGTTGTTCAGAAGTTCTTTGGCGCTGTTTTTTGGCGCTGTTGTGTGGTGAGCGATGCGGGGAGCGTCGCTCCCTATAAGTCGCTGCGTCATCATTAATTGTGTGGTGAGCTATGCGGGGAGCGTCATTCCCTAAAAGGGAACGACGCTCCCCGCATCGCTCACCACACAATTAATGATGACGCAGCGACTTATTTAGAAACCATCGTAGCGCTCTACATGCGGTCCTGTGCTGCAAAGATGGTGCTATTTGCTTGCAGCCTATTTCTAAGGCAAATCTAAGAGGCAGGCATTATAATTATTCTTAGAGCATTATTCTGTTCGAAAGTTTTCTGCCACGTGCACAGGATTTTACAAATCATCTGCACTCTAAGCCGAAAATGACTAAAGTGGGGTATGCCATTGGTTCTTTAGGGGTCTAAATGCGCTGCCACAGATTTTGAACCAATTTTGGACTAACTGCGGGAGCAACTGCAAGGGTTCAACTGTTACCTTAAGCACTTACTCCACTTGTTTTAGATGTTGGTCGCAGTAGAATGCTCCAGTGGGACTAACAGTTGAACCGTCTGGACCAATGGCAAAAAATGGCGACACTGCGTTTGTGGAGTATATTTTATGTTATTCCATATTGATCAGCATTAGGAGCAGAGTGTTATTCATGCAACACACACACACACACACACACACACACACACACACACACATCTATATATATATATATATATATATATATATATATATAATATATATATATATATATATATATATATATATATACGCCCTATTTATTCATAGTAAAACACCGCAAACACTGACTGCCCGTGCTATACTACGAGAACAGACTATCGGGTATCTATAGCAACAGTACTTAGACCTCCATATAGTGACAGTGGGCAACTTTTACTCGGCTTCTTAAAAAACAGTAAATATTGATACGTAACGCCTAAAATTTACCTGGGCTGATTCGTAGCCACCGCTGCGCACCGATCTTTCTAATATGGCTCCATCTAATCTTCAACATGCCTCCAGCACGAGATACGAATTATCAGCTGGCATTCGATCACTGTTGGCCGAACCAGCATTCGCAGTGCTGGCGAACGAGGTCCGCAACACACAAACATAGCAAACGGCGCTTATGCGGGAAAGCGGCGAACAAGCAGGCGCCCCGCCGATGCCATACCGTGTCGGCTTGCCGACGGTGTCGCTAGGCTGACGACGAGTACGGCTAAACGACCCACGGCGATCCAACATGCGGCTCGCGTGAATTTTCGTCGTCGTTATTTATTGTCACAAATGAACACTAGGTAAGTGTCCCATGTTTGCGGTGTCTTATCGGGTAATGTAGACTATGTATACTTACAGCGACGAGACCGTTCGCAGGCACGGTTCTTTCATCGTGCTGGTAAGGCGCCTCCTGTGTTATCGCCGGCCGCACGATTGTCGTATCCGCGATCGCCGACACGATGGATTTTTGATAACGATTGTCGCACGGAGAAAAAGACCTATAGTTTGTTCTGAGCTACATTTCTGTGAATTTGTACGCGACGTTTCCTTCGCTTGTGCCGGCAATGCACTCACACCAGCAGCCAGTTGATACCGATGACGTACGAAGCTACTTTTTCTATACATCGCTTTGAAGTTGTGGTCACTGTGTGGGTACACCACCGCTGATGAACAGCTTACTTTTATTAGCGGTGCCAGTGTTCTTCGTAGTTCGAACTAACTCACCACATTGAAGCGAGTTATCCGCGTTGCCCGTGTTCGGCAATTTTCACTTGGTTTCGGCCCGCCCGTGCCGGCATGGTGAAAACGCAAGGGCGCTTGTTGTGTGCACTGACTGCGTGCTGTACTACTTGCCTCTCATAACATCTTCTATTCGTTTCAGATTGCTTCACTTTCACAGTGGCGTATAGCCTATATAACATGTTTTCATGATCGCTGACCATGCCGAGCATTGCAGTGCAGCATCGACAGGAGGCGATCGCGGCGCAGTTGCCCTCCCCGTTGGTCTCTTCATTGCCGGGCGTTTGTGCACGACACGCACTGTCACGCATTTAGTCCCCGTGGGACGAACCGTTCGTCTGTTGCTTTAACGACTGCAGTTAGTCCAACTTTACCGAATTTCGGCTTAGAGTGTGTGATTGGCAGACGGTAACGGGACAGAAATATAACAAAACACACCTCGATAAATATTGAGGTAGCGATCATTACATACGTTTCGGGGTTTGGGTTGGTATTCTGACCAGATATCCACATCGGTGCAGTTCATAATGTCCTCCCTGTGGTAGTGTCCCGGTTCACACATATGCAAGTCCTGTTTGTTCCAACGCTAACAAATCGGGTTTACCCTCCTCTGGGCGCCAACTTGATTAGCGCAACGTGCCACCTGCGTTTGGGGCATTGCGAATTTTTCCTGCTTCCGGGGGCCTTCCTTGGAAACGTCATTTCTGGGGATTGCACGACTTTACCTTACGTGTGGGCAAGGCATGTAGGTGTGATGAGTGTCCTTTTGTGCTCTGTCTGCATAAACGTTTGGGGTGTGGGGGAGCATGGGTCCAGTTTTCCAGCCCCTGGCTACGCCATGGCAATGCACACTTCTTGATTTGTTCATTAAAAGGTGCTAACAACAAAGAATGCGTTCAACAGTCACGGTGTAGCCTGTACTGGCGAGTGCAATTGTGATTTTCAAATAATGCCTAACGTTAGTCTATACACCTACAATGAAAAAGCGTACGTCGCATGAATTGTTTAGTACGTAATTTTTGCAATGCCGTCAGTTTAGTGATGCCTAGATTTCTTGTCGGCTTTACTTAGTGTCCTAGGTGAAGTTTTTTTCAGGCATCAGAAAAGTTCCAACGAAATCACCGAAGTAATTGTTTTTCTTTCCCATTTTCGTTATATTCTCATAAGACGGAACGTTATGTTTAGTACAGTAGTTTCTTCGAGGAGGAGTGTTGATCCCAGTTGGTAAAACATTCGAGTTTTGAGCGTTTTCTGGTTCTAACTTTACAGCACTTACCTTCCGTTTGTTTGAACATGGCTTTTTTTATGCATTTCTTTCTATTTCCCTGTTCCTTTGCTCTCTTTCATCCTGCCTCATTCTAACTATTCACTACGCTAGGCATGAGGACGAAACAAAACTCTCGGATGAGCGCAGTGAAATTGCAGTGAACTGCGCAGTGAATTCTAGGCCGCCAACTTGCCTCGCCGCTGACGCTACTAAACCAGTTGTACTTACGCCGTCACACTTCCTAACCACTAGAAAGTCCGCCACACTACATAGTGTCAACATTGCTGGAGTAGCCAGAAGTCGCTCTGATATTTCAAAGCTTTGGAAGTGCACACAGGAGTAAGCAAGTATTGTTTGGAAGCAGAGGTATAGGAAAACACCAGGCCTGCGTGGAAGGCGCAGCGCAGTCACAACGAAAGCTACATGAGCAGCCTTTCAGAGCCTTCTCAAAACACTCATTAGGTGACCACTGCAATCACACTTGCTTGATACACACTAGGGCATTAATAATAATTTTTTGGCGTAGTAGGCCGGCACTCTCTATGCTATTTTTTGTCATTCGTCGGAAAAGCGTGGTTTCCGCTACACACTTGCAAGCAATTTTGTGCCAATTGTCCATGCAGTGGCTGACGACGATGAGGAATTAAGGCTGAAGTGAATATGAGCCACAATTATTAGGGAAACAATAACAAGCTTTTGTAATGGGTTGGAGCATTGGACGGCCCATTCGTTACGCTATTCGCATTGTGCGATGACTGGTTGTTCTTTCGCTGTTTTAAAACGCTTTATAAGTCGTATTGGGGCGATTGCTTTCCCAACATCAAGCCTGCCTTAGGCAAGTTTGCCAACAAGTCACAAGCACCCGCGCAGCTCTGTGGTAGAATATTGGGCTGGCACGCAGCAGACCCGGTTCGGTTATGGTACCGCTTTGGTTATGGTTAGATGTGGTTACGGACACTGGCGGCAGCGGCGGCGGACAACTGCACGTGACCCGAGTTGTGATCCCATAACAGCTTTTGCTGTAAAATATCTTTAGTGTTTTAGAAGTGCGCACAATAGGGAAATGCGGCCCAGCAACCAGCTTAAGGAAAACAATTTAGTCGTCAATAAAAATGAGGTGCCCATAACTTTGAAATTGGTAGAGGGACTGCTGTGCACTTATCAAATATGTTTGAGCTTGCAAGATCCTCTTGGAAGGAGCTATACGGAAGTTCTAAGGCCAGTACAACTGTTGTACCCGTTCGAGTTGGTTTACTGAACTTTGTCGTGCACGGATGACGTGATTTGCTTGAACCTGCCGCGGGAGTAGCACGTGCATAGAATAATTTTGAAAACTAAGAGGGAGAGAACGCTGAGCAAAAATAGAATACGCTCATTGGAATGGATGCTTGGATTTGCGCCTTTTCTTCCTTGGAGTTTTTAGACGCCGTGGTGCAGTTTTCTCCCAAGCAGCTCCGCGAAATTTGCGAACCCCGACTAGCTCAGGAAAATAAGGGCAACTAAAGCCTATAGTGCGTGCTCGTCTGACATTTTCTTTCTTTGTTCATTTATTCGTTCCGTCTTCATGTCTACGGCATTCACTCTGTCTAAATACGTGATACCTTAATTATGTTGCTTCAGTACTTCCTGCCGGGAATTCGGCCTTCATCCACGTCCGGGCTGTATGCAGTGATGACGCTCATGCGTTGATATCCATGCATCAGTAAAATTTGTCAACGTGAAATGACTGGTCACCTCGTATAGGGTCATTTTTTTTAACATGCAACCTGTTCAGTTCTGTGTATACTGAGCAGGTTGGATGTACTGAAGAAACAATGTCTAAATTGGGCACAAAGATGAAAACAGAATACCAGTGGGTTGCGCATTGAATAATAGGAAACTTGTAAGCTCGTTTCGCCGTTCTGGGCTCTGAAAGGCTGTTCCTGGGAAATACCCGATGCGTGCGCAGTCCATCAGCTTGTTCGAGATGTTGAGATGCCAAAACGAGTCCCTGGGACACATCGGCGTCAGTCTCCTGCTGTAATCTAAACTCTGTTTAGTCTAAGTCAGTAGGTTGGATGAACGTTGGATTATTCGGTAGAGATAGCCGTTTTGTACGAAACACTGGGAAGTGTTTCCGGTGCTTTGCCATAACTAGAAGGTAGAAACTGTTGGTCTGATGCGTGGGGCTAACACCTAAAGCGGAATAATGTACTGCTGCTTTCTGGCAAATTATGGTTCATTCCACTCATTCACATCAGTGAAACAACGAGTTTTCAGGAAAGGCTGCACTGAAGAAGTAGCAAGGAAAGTCCAGGACGTCGTCTGGATGACAGAGCACTTCCTTTGTTTCATCCTTGTCACCTCGTGCAGTTCTCACATCTCGTTTTAGTATTGTCTCTGTAAACGGGCTTCGTGTATATTCGTAGTTTCCCCCTCTTTCTGAAGAGGCAGCAGCGCAAAGCTTACAGCACTGTTTGTCCAACAGGGCTGCTAGACGATCCGCTTGAGCAGAGACTTCGCTCCCGTGGCACGAGTATTTTGCGGCGCTCTCAGGTTAAATGAGCAGGTGTCTTCAGTGATCGGCGCACTATTCAAGCAATAATGTGAAATTTCCAATATTCATTTATTCGAAAGCGCGTTTATTCTTCTCTATATTTCTCCAACTTTTCTAATCGATTATGCACCGCAAGTATGATGATTCATGTGTTCATCTTTGGTTGGTTTGTTCGTTGATCCATGTGCGCTACGTGCCTTTGTTTTATATTCAGCAGCATTCCACAGTTGGTCACGATTTCTATGTCAGGTTGCCTGTGCACGTTATCTGCTGTGTTGTCGTAAGAACACACTCATTGCCTCACAAATTGGTATGTCTCTATGAGCTTGTAGATTAACGCTTCCCTAAACCTCAACCCCTCCCAAAAAATCGGTCATATCGAACGTTTAAGGTCTGTTTAAGTGACAAAGATTGAGGGGAGGTCTCCTGTAATAGTCTGAGAATATGTGACATATTTTAGACATTTCCACTATAGACTGCATGGAGCTAAAAGCCCCACCATGGTGGTTTAGTGGCTAAGGTACTCGGCTGCTTACCCGTAGGTCGCGGGATCAAATACCGGCTGCGGAGGCTGTACTTTTGATAGAAGCGAAAATGCTGTAAGCCCGTGTGCTCAGATTTGGGTGCACGTTGCAGAACCCCAGGTGGTCGAAATTTCTGGAGCCCTCCACTACGACGTCTCTCATAATCATATGGTGGTTTTAGGACGTCAAACCCCACACATCAATCATGATTACCATAAAGCTAAGTTACTAAGTCGGTTGAATTTCACAAAAATACTACATTTTACACTTCCATTACACGTGGTAGTATTTTCAAACTTTTAAAAATGCATTCTGTATTTTTTCATTAACATGGACTTGATTTTTTTAGGCATACAATGGTTACGATATCACAAAATGCGATCTCCTGTGCGAAGAGACAACAGGTGAAAAGAAGATATATCGCCACGATGCTCCTGAGTTTACCCTGTGCGACAAATCCGAGAATGGCTCGCCGATGGTGAGTTTTAGTAGCGTCACCAAGGCGCAGGGGGCTCTGTTCCAGTCGCTTCGAACATTATTTTTTTTTGCGCATATATGCACATATTCCCCCCTCCTTCTTGAAAAAAAAATTGTGCTGGTGGCCCTGGTCAGTTATTACAATAATCTTGGATGAACCCGTGTCTATGCCTTGTAATATAGAAAAAAAGCTAATGCGCGGACTTGCAGTGCTCAAGAACTGTTTTTTAAATGTGCGTTTACATATTCTCAATAACGGCTTTTATAGGGTAGAACTGCAGAATGTTAGGCTTACGTAGCACTAGGCGTACTCGAATACATCTATTGTCACCTCTTGTAGTCCTTAATTATTAATAAAATAGTTATAGTTAATAATATGAATAGCTGCCTTGCTGGGAAAGCACTAGGAAGTTGAGTTCAGCTGTATTCAAAATTCTTAACTTGCTCGTATAATCACATGAACACGAAATAATCGAAAAAAGCAGAGCTAACGCTAAGGTTGTTGCTTTCTGATAAAGTTGCTAATAATGCGACAATATTAAAAAAAGTAACGCAATTGAAAAGTCACTGATTTACGCAATGCAGTAGCGGTTATTATGTGGTACAAAAGCAGGGAATCTTTTCGTTGTAAGATTGCATGGAAGGCGAGCACAACTTTGACCAGGTTATTTCTACACGGAGTTTCTACTATGAAGCTTGGTTGATTGAGTAGGTGGATATTACAATACCAAGTCGGTAAAGGTAAAGCAAATCATCATTCGTAAGTAACGCTTGGAATTTGCATTGCCAATTTTACTACAATGAGTTTTAGGCCTATTTAACATTCAGTATTATGGTGGTCAGTGTTGTATGCATCACCAAAAAACGCAACTAAGCAAGTTACTCGTTGCTCTTAAAAAAAAGGAACGCGATGCCGGCCTACTTTACCTCCAAACAAAAGAAAGTTGCACGTTACCGTTACCGAAAGAAAGTTACAGAAGTTACCTGTGTGGTTACTTTTAATCATAAGTTTTATGAATGCGCCCTTGCTCCAGGGTACTACAATAATTTTTTCAACATCTTAGGCTTGTGTTCCACATGAAGCTAATAACTTCTACAAGGATTCTATAAGTAAAAGTCTCATTTACTGAAAGGTATTTGCACAAATGTGCTGGACATTAGCAGCGTTACAGTAGCTCAAAGACACCTGCAGCCACATGCGATGGCTTCTGAATCTGTGCCACATGGTGAAGCCATTTTTGTCAATGTGACCTTGCGCCTATTATGTAGTTCAATCATATGCGCTATCTGCACTGAAAGTATTATAAGCAATAAAAAAATTACATGGTAACAGATTTATTTAAACAGGCTATCCGCAAAGACAGAATCACTAGACTGGTCATCCTTGGCATTGGCTTTCTTTTTTTTTGATGGGGCGTTGTTTGCACGATTATGACACCATATGTATCTTAGTCCGCTTCTGCCATGACGTTTCGACTACCGAAAATTGTGCCTTGTGCCTTATTTACGCCGACGCGCCAACTACTTATGTGGAAAAGGCCAATTCTGCCAGCATCATTGTACTAGCAAAAATAGACGCGCAACATTTACAGTAATGAACAAATGCTTTAATGGCCAATTAAAAAAAAAGTATTGCACACAAATTTTTTGTTCGACGCAGCAATTCGCAAGCGTTTGTGTGGGATGTTCGAGATCATCCTCGCTTATTTAGGAGTTCAACAACCAGAAAGGTAGCCGCCATTTCAGTAAGAAAGAAGCAAGATATGTCTTTCATAAGAAAGTTGATGAAGTCCTATCATGTTTTTAGCAAATATTATGTACCAGTTATCTAGATATGTAGCAAACTTAGGCATTCTCCAGAGGTACTTTTCTTCGCTCTTCAAGTTTCAGAAAAAATTACTCTGCATTAGGCACCCATTTCCTTCTCAAAATGTATTTTTTGTTACGGTAAAAATGCTGTTAAGTAATCGTAATAAACTTTCGAGAGCTAAGGGTAATGAAATTGATTCCTACGCATAGAACATATTCGATATTTTTGTCTCGCAAGTTATGCACCTCGAAAAAATTAATTCATTTTTGGGCTACTGGGTGGTGCAGATATTATAAAATAAAGATAATATATATATATAAATTGATAAATTGATAAATTGATAAATTGATAATATAAATATATAAATATATATATAGATAATATGTAAATTGTATAAAATAAACTTTTCCTCAGCATTCGTGTTGTGTGATCGCTCTTACTTTGTTTTGTTTTGAGGCTATTTCTCCCTAAAAAACTGAAGTATTCGTTTATCGATCCGTGTCAATTTGTCGTGAAATCTCCTCTTCGTGATAGCCATAGTTGGAACACTAACTAACTGCGCGTATGTCTGCCATGCCGTGTAGCACCTTTAAAAGAGCTTACTAAACTCATGGAGCTGTCCGCTATGAAGACAAGTATGCATTTCGTGTAAGGAAGAAAAGGTCTGCGGACTATGCTTGCATACATTAGCTGATTTTTGACATTTCGCTAAAGCAGAATAGAGTATATGAAGTGAGCTACGTGGCATGTGCGGGGCGATGATACTTATGATCATTCTGATGCTAGTGGTGCTGCATGCACCATGTCATCCTTTGTAAAATGCTGTCACTCTGGGTTTGGGCGATTATGCAAAATCTATACGTAAATAACTTCGTCAGCATTGCTGTTTTATCTGCATACTCAGGGCACAGGGAATGTCGGTTTTAGATTGTTCTGTTATCTGCACTTACGAGAGAAGTTGGTGATGCTTCATACCAGTAGTGCAGCCCGTGTTCAGCGATGCCTAGAGAGTGATACCTTTTTCGTGCTCGTGTTTATCTTTCCTCTCTCTCTCAAGGGTTTGCTCTAATTTTCTATCTTTATTACTAGCTCTTTCTCTTCCCGTTTCTAATTTGCTTTGTTTCACTTTGTGTTTCGTTTTCTTTGGCTTTTTGTATAATTCTCTTTTCCCGCTTTTTCATTCCATGTATTTTTTGTCATAAGATGTTATGCCTCTCTCTCGATTTGTCTCGTTTTTTGCATTGCTATCATTCTATTTCTCTATCCCTCTCTCTCTATTTTCTATTTTCCTTTCTATCTTTTTTCTTCTCTCTTTCTTTCCACGTCTTTCACGTGCGGTGCTTCTTCAAGTAGAGCTTCTTTTAACGCTCCCGCCCGCTGTATTCGTTTGTTGGGATTACCCTACTCCCGGTTCACCTGTGGAGACTCGCGCCACAGAGCACAAGTTCTCTGAATCCCCCATAGATTTGTTTTATTTGGCGAAACACTTGTGACTTCAACTGCAAAGGAGGCGGTCGAAATTGCCACAAAAATCATCTTTTGTTGCTGCTTTACAACCACAATACGTTGTTAAAAAATTACGCCAGCTCCGGCTGAATGGAACCAGGTGTTAATGGGAAGCAGAGGGGAAATGAGGAACAACACTCACAGAACCTCTTCTACGTCTCCTTGAGCAGGTGCACCAACACTCAGAACCACTACCTCACTAATGCTGCCGGTGACCAACGGTTGCGCTGACCGAGAGTATAGTTCTGCTAAACAGCCGGTCCGTAAGCACACGCGCCAGAGACATCGAACGTGGTGCCGCGCTAACCAATGCAGACGCGCTTCGTCTCATGGAAACGTGAAAGCCGGCAAGACCGACGATCAACGGCAACGAAGTGATAATGTGTACTCGGGAAGCATTTTGTTTTCATCGCTGCCTTTTCTGGAGAGAGAGCGGGGGAGGGTAGGAGAGGAGAAAGAGGAAGGAGAATGCGCATGCGCAGTGAAATAGCTCACGCATGAGACATGGATAGACACAGCCGTGAGCAAAAGCTGCTTCGCATCTAAGCATCGAACACTAAATTGTCAAGGTAGAAATTATAGTCATATATTAAGTGGTCATTCGTATTGGGTGGGAGGAGAGCACGTTTAGTGTATTGTCAATTTCTATATTCTATATTCTATTTCTACATTTCTATAAACAGTGAAAGCTCTGCTGTGTTTCTTGAAAAAGACGGGTTTGTGTGAACGCCTCTGGCTTGCGGTGAACTTCTACACGCTGCAGTGAAATAACTGTCAGTCTCTCCTTTTTTTCCCTCTCTTCCCTCTTTCTCATCTTTCTTGTCCTCTTTCCTAATCCCCCAGTGTAGGGTAGCCAACCGGATGTCTTTCTGGTTAACCTCCCTGCCTTCTTACTTTTTTTGCTTCCTTCCTTCCTTCCTTCCTTCCTCCCTTCCATCCATCTTTCCTTCCTTCCTTCCTTCTATCCTTCCTCCCTTCCATCCATCTTTCCTTCCTTCCTTCCTTCCTTCCTTCCTTCCTTCCTTCCTTCCTAAGATTCTGCTTATCACATCAATGGTCGGAGGCTCAAAACCGACGCTTGTCACACAACTTCAGTGGATTTGGCTGCTAAAGATTAAGAATTGCTTTAAAACGATGTACCATTTAAATAAATGAACTCGCTTTCCCCTCACCTCTATATTCGAGTACCACGCAATGTTTTTAAAGTGTCGCTAATAGTTCTATAGGGAAGCTGTAAACGGCTAGATGAGACCATTCTTCGTTCGTCCTATATGTATGCATTGACTCCTTGAGCATATTTCTCAAAGATGATGCACAGGTGTCAGTATTAGGCGATGGAGCTGTAACAAAGATTGCTATTTTGGTATAGCAATAATTAATTATTGAAGAATGCATCAATGGGCATTACCTGAGTGAAAAACATCGGGCCCACACGTCGCAGTTTTGTCAGTTAACTACACAAAATGATTGAACGGTGATTTTCAATGCTGCATTGTGGAAAACGTTTGACCCCAATCCTTTATATAAGTCACCCCCGGACTGTGTGTAAAATGCTTTGATAAAGTGTTTCAATGCACAATGTTGTAAAGGTAAGTAAATTACGTTTTTGAGTTTCTAAAACCTTTGATACGCTGCATTTACTGTGAAATCGCATCAACTGTTCAATCGTAGCTGACATCTATAGAAATGTTGCTCTGCCTACGGTTTCTGTATTGCAACACATTCTCTTCGACCTGACAGGTGTGTCTGCAAAAGAAGTGCACAAGTTCTGTATCAAAACTGAGGACATTTCAAAAGAGCAAACTAACAAGGTCAAAATAAAGATGAGTGTCATTGATCTTTTTTGATTTTCATTCTTTTTATGGACTTAATTTTATTGCATGGAAACTATAGGCAATAAAATGTTTTATGATGATAAAAATTGTGTTGGCACTCAGGGGCATTTTTCCACTAGCGTTGCCGTTCGGTGTACAGCGGTCGTGCCATCTTGTTTGAAGCAAGACTTACAAAACAACCAAGCGCTCTAGAAAAGCCCTATCTGCTGTATAGTACTCGTGGTCGTGCCTGCATAAACCTATATGTTTTTAGTTACTAGGTGCTCATGGATTAATAACCTTATTTGTTGAACTTTTTCACACTTGGCAGAATGACTAATAAAGTAAATTTATTTTGTAGCTCGCCTCAAATAACCTCAGAAAAAAACATTTTTTGCTGAAATCCATCGTTCTTTTATTGCGACAGAAATTTGTGAACACTCTCGGCTAATTTTTACACTGGTGCCGCCGTCACTCACCGTATATGTATAAGTATCTATATATTGATATACAACGGTTCAGCTGACGCTTTATTCATGCAACGGCAAAATGGCGCCGACGATGAAGAGGAACGGGGCGAAGACTGATGATGGTCATTGACAGATGAGGAAGATGACGTCCAATGAATTCTTACACTAATTTCCCCCTTGGACGGAAGCGGCCAGCCTGGCAGCGAATAACGCTGGGGAACGCATACGATAGGGCTTGAGACGCGAAACGTGCACAATCTCTGTCCCGCGGCAGCGTTGGTCAGTGGGGACATGAACAGGTGTGACAAGCTAGTTCACCAGTGAGGTCTGTTCGACAACTTTGTTGGTGCCAAGATAGCGTGACTCAAGCTTCTCGCTTAAGCCATGCGTTCGCGTAGGAGTTCACAAAAGTACATTGTCGCCAGGGCGGTAGAGAACGACGCGGTGAGTGGCATCGTAACGATGTTTACGATCTTCCTGGCTAGCTTCGGTGTTTACACGGGCAAGACGACGGCATCGAGCAACACGGGACAGAAACTGGTCGCAAACGAATGGTGAAGAGTTGACGGGGCCAGAAAAGAATGAAACGTCGAGTGGTGATGTCGGTCGGCGTCCGTATGCTAGGAAAAACGGAGAATAGCCTGCGGTTCGTTGAACTGACATATATGCATACGTGACAAAGGAAAGTATGGCATCCCAATTGCAATGGTCCGGTCGGATATACATGGACAGCATGTCACACAGCGTGCGATGAAATCTTTCCGTTAAGCCATTGGTTTGCGGGTGATAGCTAGATGTTGTTTTATGAACTGTTTTTGATGCTTGAAGAACTTCACTGAGCGTGCTTGAAAGAAATGTCTTGCCCCGGTCGCTCAAAAGAACACGAGGGGCTCCGTGACGTAGGTAAATAGCATTCAAGAAGAAAGTTGCTACTTCCGAAGCAGTTTCTAAAGTGATCGAGGCCGTCTCAGCGTACCGGGTCAAGTGATCAATGGCGGTGACGATCCATCTCTTGCCGTCTGATGTAGTTGGGAGGGGCCCGAAAAGGTCGATTCCGACGACAAAAACGGCTCTGATGGACAAGGAAGTGGTTGTAGGGTCCCGACTGGAGCTGTTGTGGGCCGCTTGCGGTGTTGGCAAAGTGCGCACGAGGCAATATATTTAGCTACCATCGTGGAAAGACCTGGCCAGAAGAATCGACTGCGTATGCGCTAGTATGTTTTGTAGTGACCCAAGTGTCCTGACGTCGGGTCGTCGTGGGAAGCGCGCAGAACTTCAGTGCGTAGTGCGCGTGGTACGACGGGAACCCATCGGTGGCCTTCCGGGTGGAAAATGTATCGATATAGCACATCGTTCTCACACTTGAATAGTCGGAGTTGTTTCCGGAGCCTGGCATTAGGGGAAGATGAAGCGCCGGTAAGCCGACCGATGATGTCAGTGCAGTAATAATCGGCTCGCTGGTGAGTAGTAAGTACTGACGGACGGGTGGGTGAAGGTAGGGAAGAAATGGCTGATATTGACGAGGCGTCCTCCGTTAGCCAATTTGACAAGGGGATGTGACGTGCACCGAAAACTGCGGCAAAGGGCATCGTGACAAAGCGTCGGCATCTTGATGTTGTCTTCCAGTCTTGTAGATACGTCAAAGTCATAATATTGTAATCGGAGAATCCAGCGGCCAAGTCGTCCCGACAAGTTTTTGATTGTGGACAACCAGCAAAGAGCATGGTAGTCTGTCACAACAGTAAAATGTCGACCATGTAGGTACGGACGAAATTTTGGATGGACCAGACAACAGCCAAGCACTCTTGTTTGGTTATCGAGTACCTCTTCTCTGCAGAGGTCAGAGTGCGGCTTGCATACGCGACAACTTTCTCGCCAAAGGCATGGTCGCGCTGGAGGAGTACGGTGCCGATTCCTTGTCCACTAGCGTCAGTGTGTAATATCGTAGGTGCCCTGTCATCGAAATAACGAAGCATCGGTGGGGATGTCAGTGCCTGCTTAAGTTCTTGAAATGAGGCTTCGCATTGATCATTCCAATAGAAGGAACCGGTTCTGGCAAGGAGCTTGTGGAGAGGAGCGGCAATAGTGGCAAAGTTGCGAATGATGCAGTGAAAGTACGATGCGAGTCCAAGGAAACTGCGTAGTTCTTTGGAGCGAAAGGGTCGTGAAAGTGGAGGACTGTGGAAATTTTGTCAGGATCGGGCGGGATGCCATCTTTACTAACGAGATGTCCTAGAACTTTTATAGCTGTGTTGCCAAAATGGCACTTATTTGTGTTTAGTTGAAGTCCAGCACTGGAGAGACATGTGAGCACTTGATCTAGGCGTTGCAGATGACCAGCAAAAGTGCAAGAAAACATGACGATATCATCAAGGTAGCATAGATAAGTTTTCCACTTGAGGCCACGAAGAACAGTGTCGATCATCCTTTCAAATGTGGCGGGAGCATCACATAGGCCGAATGGCATTACGTTAAACTCGTAAAGACCGTCCGGCGTAGAAAAGGCTGTCTCTTTGTCTTCTTCGTCCATTGGTATTTCCCAATACCCGGACCGAAGGTCAAGGGTAGAGAAGTATTGGGCGCCTTGCAATGAGTCAAGTGCATCATCTATACGGGGCATCGGATATACATCCTTTCGGGTAATCATGTTGAGCACGTGGTAATCAACACAAAATCGTACCGATTCATCCTTATTTTGTACCAACACAACGGGTGATGACCAAGAACTGATAGAGGGTCGTATGATGTTTCTTTTTAGCATATCGGTGACGTTCTCCTCGATGATTTTGCGCTCCGCCAAGGAGACTCGGTAGGGACGATGGCGTACAACAGTCTGACCATCAGTGTCGATGCGATGATGCGCAACTGTGGTCTGTCCTAGTGCCGAAGCATTGGCGTCGAAGGAGGCCTGGTGTTTCTTTAGCAAATTTAGCAACGCCTCACGTTGAGAACCAGAAAGGTCAGGATTTATCCCGGGAGCAATGGAAGAGGAAGTAACAGACTGGGCCTGTTGTGGCTGAGCTGTCAAGGCATCAAGAGAGACCAAAGATACCGGTTGGGTATCCACATAACATGACACTGCAGAACCTTGGGGTAGGAGGACAGGCTCTGGGGTAGAGTTCAGGCCAAGGATTATCGCAGCACTGTCTTTGAACCGCACCAGGCTGGAGGGGACTACAACGCCGCGAGCTAGACAGCTGCTGGAAGGGGTGATAAGGACGTCACCATTGGAATATTCGGAGAACTGATGGTGATGAGTTGCTTCTGACCCGGGAGCTGTATGAATTCGGAAGCTGTGAAGAAACGCAATGGTTTTTTTGTCAACGCGTTTGCTGCAGGGATCGGTCTCGGTCATTTCGACAACACGTTGACGGCAAGAAATTAATGCAGATGCTGATGAGAGAAAGTCCCAACCTAAAATTAGTTCATGAGCACATGAAATTAAGACAGCGAAGGTGATGTGATGACGAATACCATCAATGAAGACACGCGCTGTACATTGGGCCGATGGTCTAATTATTGCTCCCTTGGCCCCTATCAAGGATGATGCAAGGTAGGGTGTCTTCACTTTCCGCAATCGAGAACACAAGTCGGCACGCACAACTGAAATAGTTGCTCCCGTGTCCACCAAAGCCAACACCCGCACACCTTGCACAGTTACCAACTGTGCACAGTTACCAATTCCGATGGAGGCGGAAATGGTGTAGGCCCGTGTACTCAGATTTGGGTGCACGTTAAAGAACCCCAGGTGGTCGAAATTTCTGGAGCCCTCCACTACGGCGTCTCTCATAATCATATGGTGGTTTTAGGACGTTAAACCCCACAAATCAATCAATCAATTGCACAGGTACCAATAAGATGTTCTTGGGTCATGTCGCTGCGATGCAGTTTTCCCTCCAAAAACTGCACTGTTTAGTTTTCCGATCGCTGAGCAGCCAGTTGAGAGAGAGGCCGAAGTGGTGAAACAGAGCGTCGGAGTGGCGAAGGGGAGCGTGATCGGGATGCACGTATATTGTTGGTCATGTTGGAAATGCGCACAGGAGACGGTGATCGGTGGTTGGAACGACTGTCGGCATAACCATAGTAACCTCGAGCACATGTGTCGTCTCGTTCAAAAGCGGCATAACCACGACGTTCATCTTGCTGCCGACGTCGACATACCCGGGAAATGTATCCTCGAACTCCACAGTAGTAGCAAATAGGCCGTGGGGCCCGCCAGGAAGAATGGTAGGTTGAGTTCGCTGGACGGGTGACTAGAGGTGCGAGATGTTCATAAATCAGGCAAAGGTGATGGTACTTGAGACGGCGAGGGTTGCATTGAAGCGATCTGCGCATACGAAGCGGGTTGGGGGCATGGTGGAACACGGTGGTTGCTTTGAAACACTTACATTTCTTCCCTAATAATGCCACGCAGATCGCTAGAGGCGGGTTGAGCGGAAACGTTGTTAGAAGGAGGTAAACTCTAGGCTTGCGATTCCTCACGAATTATGGCTCGAATGATGGATTGGAGCTTCATACTGTTTGCCAGGGGGTTCTCAGAGAAGTCGGGTCGCAG